TAGAAAGTGGTAGAAAACCTAGGATATTGGGACCTTTTTTTGGATGAAAACCAAAATGTTCATGTTCATCACACCTCCGGTTATGTGTTTTTGCATGTCTTGAACCTAAGAAGCCCAGACCGGGAGACTCCTAGATCAGCCCGCGCCGGTCGTTTGGACCGGGGGACCTCTGTTCGAAATCCTGAGGATTTCAACCCTGGTAACTCATGTCATGTGAATTAGCACCACCCAGTTTGGGTGGTTAGATGGAAAATACCTCTGACGGGGGTCTATAAACCACCCTGTGTTTGGGTGGTGCTGGTACTTCTATTGATTTCTTGTTTCTAATAGCTTCTTGTTCTTAGTAGTACGGCCAGGAGCCCCGTTCGTAGCGTCACCAGGAGCCCCGTTCGTAGCGTCCTTGTTCCTTTTAGGGCAATAGACTGGCGGGTTTGGAGATTTGTTTGCCCAAACACCTAGACCCCGTCAGGTGAGCCGTGGAAAGCCTGACCCCAAGAGACGAAGCCGGTTGGGTAGAGGCCTACATCCATGATCCATGTTTGCGAATTGTTGGAGTGCAAGGTAATTACACGGATCCATATATTGATCTATCATTACAGTATCTATTGCATATCCGTCGGCCAGTTGCTCATCCACAATTGAGGGGTTACATAGCAACCTCCAAACGAAATGATTCAAAAACTCAGCTATGAGCGTCGGCGCATGTGTTGGGCCTTGAGGAGTGGGATGGAGGCCTCGGACTGCGCCATGCGCCGAGGTTGCGGCATTATGGCTTCTATCGCGTGCTGAAGCCTCGAGAGCCGGTGGTGCCCGCCATCACCAACGGCTCCCTGCCGCCGAGCCCCAGAAGCGAGCCGCTAGAGGAGCTGCCAGGCGAGGCATGATATATACGTGCTGAAATGTGCTGAACGATTAACATGGAACCTGAAAACTACTGGGCTGTAGAAAGTATAGTCTTCCAAAGGTCCGAACCGAACTAACAGTTTTGGGGTGCACGCTTCAGCGAACTGGAGCCCTGAAATGCCCGAAATCATCTTGGAACCTTGGAACTTGCGGCTCCGAACCGGACCAAGCGTTGCTCTTCGTCGGCCCTCACCAGGCAGCATGACCATCTTCGCGCCGGATGCGATTCAAATTCCATCGCCACGGCCCTCGCGCGGACCTTGGATGTGGAACGTTGGTGGTGAATGTCTAAACGCGGGCTACGGCCTGGAGGGTGTGAAGTGCAATCAGAAACTATTGGGGCATAGACTTGTTGGATGTGCAACTTGCCGCATGCCGACTATGGGCTTTCTGACATTGGACCCCTTTGAAGCAAGGAGCCAAGAAGAACCTAGCTATATACAGGAAAAACATAGGATCTGACAGATGCAGTCCGTGATGCACGTATAGGCCATCGCAAGTAGGTTGGAGGCCAGTTAACAAGAAGCTACTGGCAACAAGGCACACAAGGTGATTTGTTCGTCTTTGTGGTTTCCTTCTTTCTGGGGGCTCGTCGCCCGGCAATCATCGCTCGCACCGTATCGTGGGATTGACATGGATCCACCGCGATGTTCGTATTTGATGGACCACCACGGAGCAGCTTCGCCAACCTTTTTGCCTGCAGTTGTGCTGCATGGCTCAGGATCATATCCATGAGTCTGAGATCCTGTAAGTGCTTGTGGATCTTCAAGGGTTTCAAGATCTTCAGTGGTTGTGCATCTGGAGTCTGATTTACATGATATAGGTCTCCACTCCACCCTTTTAGCATCGAAATCGGACCTCCCCCCTGAGACCTCACAAGTATAGTAACCAGATGTAACCAGTGTTTAGTCCAAGACCACCAGAACCCCTCCATTAAATACCTCAAACGTGGGCAGGACTAAAGTAGACGGCATGAACCGACCCTACCTGTCCAAGGAGCAAGCAAAACCTGGTCCTTGACCTCCTTGAGTACTGTTTTCGCATGTTTTCGAATTTTCCAGTTTCCTAAAGTTTTCGCACCCAAGGCCCCGACCCCGTGCGGCGCGCGCACGGCCGAGCTCTGCGAGATATACGCGGGCGCGGGGCGCAAGACGACGGCTGGTGAAACGATGGAAGTGGATAGGAACTGGTGACCGGTGAATTTATTTGGGCTCTTTGTTTGTTACGTAGAATTCCATGTCTTTGGGTCGTGTTGTAAAATCTTTGCCTGGTGGATCTTGGTGGATCTAGATCTTGAAAGGGGGATTTGCCCCTATCCAGTTACAGTTAATGGATCTTAATCTTAATGGCACATTTGCATACATTTGCGCAATGTGTGCGCTTCCGCATGCAGGTCGGAATTGGTACCCGATTTGCTGCAGGTTTGGTCATGCTGGTCACCAGTTGGGCGAGTTGGGTAAGGTAGTGTTTATATACAGGTCAATGCCCACCAACCTCCATCATTTGTGGAAGATACAAGCCTCCGTTGAAACGGGTCAATGTAGGCGACTATTTCAAACATGGAGGGGCCATTATATTGCAGTGGTTTAAAGAGTAAATGGCACAATCCCCAAGTTCGGTGGTTTATCTGGACCTCCATCGAATCTAGACATATCTAGACATGTAGGGGTGCCAGTGCCATCTACCCTGAAACCTCGGTGCTTTCAGCAAGCAAAGGGACCTCTTGAGCTTGAACGAGAAGACGCGGTTTTGACGTACCACGCGACGCGGTCCTGGTGCGCACCCAGGACTTTGAGCGGCGGAGCATTCCGGAGCCAGGACGAGCTGTGGGGCTCGCCTGGGAAGATTTGGGGCCAGCTGTGGACACCGGGACCATCCTGTCTGGGTGCCCACAAGCAGTGTGAGGTAGTGGTGACCCTTTTGGATGGTCCAGGTGACCCCCTTGGACGGCGAAGCCGTTCTGCAGGTCCACCGAACTTTTGCCTGTTGGAATCGGAGGCGCCCAACCCCACGCGCCGTCTCGGCGCTCACACGTATCACCATATGATGGTAGCAAGAGCGCTCGCATGGCCAAAGAAGTTCCAAAGGATGTTCGAGTTGACTTGTTCCGTAAGAATCCGGGCCCTCAAGCAGGATGTTGAGATGTTTTGAGGGTCCCCCTGCCAAGGAGTCTTCCGAGGAATCTGAGACGGCTCACCCCAACCGATGGTTTGGGGGGTCCAAGTCATTATGGGACCAGCCATGACCAACCAGAAGGAATACTAAAGATGCCTAGGCCCAGAAGGAGTGTGTTCTCATGTGTTCCACCCTTCACTGCGCCGTGGGGGCAGTGTGCCATCCGAAAAGCCATGTGTGTGGGCTTGCACTACTGGTCCTATGCGGTCCGCGTGCGCGGTGTAGGTTCACCGGTGAGTTGACGGAATTTGATCCGCAACTGGCAGGGAATCGCCTGGCATCACTTGTGCCTGTAAACTGCCAAGTTGTGAATGCTGTGCTCAGAGGCTCTTTTGAAAATAAGCGTCCCTCGGTCCTCCAGTGATGAGGCGGCCTTGGCAGCTGCAGTCCCCACACTGGAACAGCTCTATTCATGTCCAAGGCCTCTTTAAAAGGCCCAATCCCTAGACTTGACCCTGTCCGGCGGATATTCGGTGCACTCTGATGTAGGCCCGAACAAGTTTTCTTGGGCTCGAGAGGGAATGACCGAATGACAACTAAACAAAAAAGATTCTAAAGAAAAACGCGCAACACGGGGATCTAAGGACAGGTAAGATATCCCCCTCCCCTCGATTTCGAAATCGACCCCCTTCCCCCTCCTAAGCAGTGGTGGATGGTAAGATAAAGATCAGAAGAGTTAGTTTCTAGCTGGTGTGAGCCGGAGGGAGCGATTTATCGGGTCGCCCGGGGATGGGACCAGTTCTTCCCTAGCCGCCCACGGGCGCGACCGGAGGGAAGTCCCAACAGCATGGATCAGACCCGCTCTCCAGGGAGTCAGTTCAGTCTAGTTCCCCTCTTGACTTGTCCATGGTTTCGCCGCCCAGCTCACCGGTGCCCAGCTCCTGCGCAGGACTGCGGCTTCAACGGCCCAGCTCAGCTGCGTAGAGGCTGACGACAGGATTCGGGCCTGACCGCCCCTGACACACAAAAAAAGGACTGCCCCCAAATATAAGGATGGTCTTAATATTGCGAAGATGGTGACACTGAAACGGTGTTTTGTTTTTGAAACTCTTTGAGAGCAAACGACTGCTGTTGGGGGAGGGGATGCGGTTTTTGGCAGATTCCATTCTCCCAATGCCTCCCAACGCGAGTTGGGAGGACCTTGATTACTGGGATCGCTGCGGGCAGTCTTTGGGCAGTCATCGTGGATCAACAGAAGGCTGTTTCAACAATCCCAAAAACTTGGATTTACTGGATCAAGAACTGGATTTACTTGTAAGCGCTTTGGAGTTTACTTCTTCAAAAAGTCCAAAACTGTTGGATTAACTGCTGACTTTGTTGGAACCAGACCTCCAGGCATCTCCAGGATCAACTGGTTTAGACCAATCCACCGATGCGTGGCCAGTCTAGTCTTGTCGTCTAGTCTTGTCGCGCTTGTCATTGTCACCCTCAGATATACCGATATACCCCGCTCAAGACTCCAACCAGATATATTCCTGAATGATGGTATTTTGTTCTAGATCGCAGAAGGGTCTTTGGGTTTTGAGGGAGTTCTGAGGGTCTGAGGGTTGGTACCTTCGATCGCCCGCATCGCCCGATCCTTAGGTTCGACCCTCGGCTCTGAGACCGATGGCGTTCCGGGGCGGGGCGCCGACTCCTTGACACGAGCAGAACGAGTCGTTGGATGATGGGATCGGTTCTTTATACCATTTGCCATACGGCATCGTGAAGCTGATGTGACCTCCGCATACATCCTGGTCTGGGTGATGACACATCAGTCAATGAAGCACTGTGTCGCACTGGCAACCTTTTTTTAGGGGTTCCTTTTACAAGAGCAGCTGATCGGCTTCCTGTGCAGGTTGAAAACAACTTGTATCCGCTTGTGATTACCACGCCCTCTAAAACGGAAGAGATCGGAAGAGGGAACTACCAAACATGATAACCACCATGTATAGATGGACATAATTGTTCTTGGAGGTTTTGCCGGTCGCTCATATGTAGGAGACCGGAACTGAGAACCGCTCACCTGGACTTTCGAACAGGTCACCAATAGACGAAGAACCGTACTCTACCCCTTCTTCCGCGTGGCGGAACCGGCATTTTCGCTTAGGCTGATGAGTTTCTGGTTCAGTGCAACTTGTCTGGTTTTTCTTTGAGCTGGCCCCGGGCCGCCCCCGTTTCACCGGACTTCTCGAGCCTTCCGATGAAGATCAACCCATGAGTCGACCATGCGACCATGACCGAAGCAACGGTTGGAACATGGTCAACTGTTGGTGGCTGGTTTTTCTCATTCGGAATGGACTTGATACTATAGAGCACGGGCAATTTTGGACAGCTGTCAATTTCAATTCCAGAAAATTCAAGTGCCTCGTTGCGGTGTCCCTTGTCCAGGTGAACATGGTAAATGTCGGGGTCTGAAGGCCTTGCAGTATTGGAGTTGATGTGCCAGTCAACGTGGACGTCTACTTGTTGGCTTGCACAGCTTGGACCATCTTAGACATGGTGCTTGCCACAAAACCGCCTCAAGAAATGCAGTATATAGTATAAGATAAACCTATAGTATATATAATATAGGAACAACATGAACAACCTGCGAAAGGGCGGGGTGATGTGAGTCTCCAGTTGCAGAATCCTTCTTCTGCAGACTAGACGGGGAAGAGGTGAGCAGGTTTGCCCTCATAGAACAAACACTCCTCATCGGGCGTGGCTCGCGCGGTGTGGCGCACACTGCGGGCGCGGGGAACTCGAGAGTTTGACCATAGGGCGCGCACCGAGGCTAAGACGGCCTCGGTGGGTGTGGAGGCGGAGGTGAAAGAAGGAGACCTGATGGAGAAGATACCTAGCACTTCCAATGGGTGCCCCGTCTGGAGGCCTGTAAGTAAGGTAGGGTAGTCTATTGGACACCCAGACAGGATGACCCTGGTAGGCAACAATTCCTCCTAATGCACAGTTGAGGTTGTCATAGCCGAGGCTAACAGCCGAAGCCTTTCAGAGTAGACGGCACAACCCCCTACATGACCTACATGTCCTTTAGATGGTGGTCTATATATAAGCCACCGAACTTGGGATATTGTGCCATCTCTGAAACCACTTCACTATAGATGGCACGAATCCTCAATTGGATGATGACTGATGAGGACGTAGATGGGAAAGGCAGGTTTTGGGCTCAGCGCCTGCGCGACGCCCGCAGCACTGTTTGGCTGCAGACGCCTCGACTGCAAGGATGCATTCAGTATAGTCATCAGATGGTAATGGAGTTAGTTGCAAACAGAACTGCAAAAGAAGGAATTACTATAAGTTGTGTTTGTCCTTTTATTCCTGTAACATCCTGTAACACTCCGTACAAATATCACTATTTTTGAATAAGGCCTGTACTAACCATCATCATCCACGGTTATTGGTATAGGATAGATAGACCCAATATAAAATACCGCCATTCTTGGCTTGGGCTTTGTGGTCGCTGCCTAATTTCAAAGGCACCTACAGGATCCTACAGGTAGGGATTGGGTCGAAGTAAAGTCCTCCACAAGATCAAAATGCATACTTATGAGATCTACAAAGGTTTAGGCGCCAGCGTCAGAATTGAGCAAACCTTTTTTGTTGTTGTTGCGGTTGAGGTATGCGATGGCAGGATGATAACCACAGCCACATCAACGAAATGCTTGTGACCTTTGGAATTCGGGCTTCGAGGTTCAGGCTTTTCAGGCTTCGAGGTTCACGCCAATGTATGAGTTTCTTGATGTCTTGGGACCAGAAACCATTTCTTTGGGCCTTCCTGCCACCCACCAACACGCATCCTGCAAGATCACCCTGAACTGAAGCAAACAGAACCACCGCCTCGGTCCATTCGACCGCGCCCCGGTCGGGCCGACACCTCTCCGGGTTGCCTCGGTTCACCGATGGCGGTCGGTGATGAGATTGTGGGCCGATCACCCTCGGTGAGCCCGTGCGGGGGGTCCTGGGTGTCCGAGTGGCGGTCTGGTGGCGATAGCTGGGGTTGAGACAGGTACAAGACTGGCCTAAATTAACCATATGTGGATCCACATGTATAGCTATAGTTGTATGGCTATACTGTGCTTAGGCGTATGCCCTATGGCTTATGAATTCATGTCTTGATTGTGATGTGATTTATGATATATGCACATGCACAAGTATGTATAGTGTTGCATTTTCGAGACAAACACCGTCGTTTTTTCTGGTCCACTTGGATTTCGCCATAGCTATATAGTTCTTGTTCTGCTTGGGTTTCGATGGAGTGATCTTGTTTCGGGTTCCAAGATAGGATGGTCCATCTCTCCAACAAGAGCGGGGCGAGTTTTCTCTTGCAGACGGCGTTCTTCGGCTGCCGTTGATCGGCGGACGGCGGTGGGGGTTGACTCGGGCATCGGACATGGGATGTCCATGGGGCGCCCGTGTTGACAGTGGGGCAACTACCAGACTCCAGACCGTTCGTCAATTTATAGAAGCAACTAAAGTAACGATTTGTTCTATAGATGTCTAGGATGTCGAGTTCCAGTTTCGACTAATCAGGGCAAGTTCCGAGTGCGTGTCCTGCAATCAGAGTTCTTCAAGCTTTTCACCTCAGCTGTTCAACTCGACGGTTGCTACTACTCTTCACCTGCGAGGTGAATGTTGGACTCGAAAACATCACCACCCAGCAGACATTTGGTGGTCTAGGTTCTTATACCCCCGAAAACTAACATGGACCCTGAAAACCACTGGTTGGTACTGTAGAGGAAACCAATCTTCCAGGTTACCATTGTCAGGGTCTATGTTAGTTTTCCGGAGTGTAGATATTGATTGGTCAAGTGAGTCAAGCCGGTTTGGGCTCCTGTCACTCCGGAGCCCAGGCACCGCCTCTTCCGGATCTCCGAGAAGGCGGGACCTCGGGAGCCCAGTTGGGGGAGAGCCGCGCCCAGCGGTGTGGGGCTTCATGGCCCAGCTGGGGCCGAAGCAAGCAAGTTCAAGCACCACCCAGGGGGCGGCTGATGATGAGTACAGACTGTTTTCTTAGACCTATATAGGTTGGAGGCCATCGCTGTGACGCTGTGAGGTTCCGTTCCTTGACACTGATTTATGAAGGAGCTCCCCTACCACGTGCTTACCATTCCGGAACGCCTCCGGGTGGAAGGTGTTGGATCAAGCAACGGAAGGTGTCGCAACGATCAGCGGCCTGAACCACAACACATTCACAGTGAGAGAACGGACCCCCCGGATTTTCAAAAAGCTGGCCGAGCAGCAGGGGTCTATGGGTTCACGGCTGACTGTAGACTTTCGTTTGAATGTGGGAGGGAGGCTTGATTGGGGGCAGCCACAACCTTAGGAATCCATAGGGAATGCCATAGGGGTATTCACAACAATGTCCCTCAAGAGGAACACTTAACGATGCTCTATGTAGCCAAATTTCTTGCAGATGACTGCGTGCACGCTGTGATGAGAGAGTGTAGTATACGTGCATAGCCATGTGGCACTGCACTGCCCTGAGGAATTTTGACAAACTGGCTGGTTGCTATAACGAAGTGGGTTTGAGTGGGCTGGCCGACTGACGCCATCTGTTTGATTTGGGGTACTAACACACTGACTAGCAACCACCCAAATTCCCAAATCTGAGCCATTCGGGTTTGAACGAATCTCTTCAGTCTTTCAATAGGGGACCAATCCGGGGACCCTGGCCCAATGGGTTTGGGTCTTTTGGGTCTCCGGTCGGGACGCCTGGGAGGCAGACCTCTACCCAGAGATTGTTGTTTTTTTTGGTTTTTGATGGTTTTTGTTTATATATATATATATATTTTTTTTCCAAACATTGCAGACATTTTTTAGCTGAAATATCAAACATTCAAAAAGACATCTATGAACATATTCTACCCAGATATTTCTCAAACATTGCAGACAGGCTGTTTCAGCCTCAAACATCCTAAGGACCCTTGGACTTTTAAGGACCCTTGACGTCAGTGATTCCTTCAACTTCTCCCGGTTGCCCCCTCCAGGACGGCCAAAAAGCTGAAGGCGGCTTCGCCGAAACTCCGGATTCCCGAGAAGACCTGTTTGGGGAGGCCAAGGCACATGTAGACAGCCCTAGGGTTGTTATATAACTCCCTGAAATAGACATGAAGATGAAGTGGAGTGAATATACATCAACCAAAAGAGATGCGAATTGGGACGTGTGAGATCGTGCAGCGCACTGCTTCGTCCCTTCTTCCGTCGCGAACCGCCGTCCCGGTGTTCCTGGGCGGCGGCTCGCAACTGCCACACCGGGTCACTTGAAATCGGAGAACACTGGTAGATCTAGGTAGAATCTAGGGTCTGTCCTATTACCTGTAACAGTCAGTAAGCAATTGTCATCATTTTTGAACAAGACCTTTACTAATCATCATCGTACTGTTACAGAGTTACAGGTAACAGGATAGACCCAAGGTGGATCCGTTTTGAGCTGGGCAGCTAGGAAGGCAGGGCCGCCCTAGAATGGGGTCTCTACCCATTTAGATCAGCGGCTTGATCGTTTTGGGCACCTGCCGGCCACAGAGATCCGGACGGAACGACTCAATTCGTATTGAACTACACGTCCCCGGAAGAAGCGGCCAACGTGGATGGCATGCCACTTGGATCATCTTAGGATCCGAAAGCACCCGGATCCTCGGATTCAGGGGGCGTTTCGTTCTCGCCTTCGCGAAACGACCGATCAGGAGTCCAAGCAGCCGGCCAAGCCAGTGAAGGCCTTGGTGATGACACCAGGGATCCTTAAAGGAAAGAGTCTAAGGGAAAGCCACGAGAATTTGGTCTAAGGGAAAACCTACAAGAAGCCGCACAGTCTTGAGTTGCCAAAAGGGAAAAGCATGTAAAAGCCATCGTTTCCTGTAGATTTGTCCCTTCTGGGGAAACATGAGCAATCTATTTGGAAGGATTGATTATCATGAGAATGGCTAAAAGTGAACGGAAGGCATGGACTCAGGGATGAGGGGCAGGGGATTCCAACTTCTCCGCGCTGCGCGTCGCACATGTTCCGGCTCAAACCAGTCGGGCTGATGCTTCGACCCATGAGACGAGTGATCCTTCTATGGATCGTCCTCGCGACCGCCCGGCTGCCGGGCCGGTCCGGGCCCGATGCCCAAGGCATTGAGGGACCGCTGGGTGACCTGGTCCGGGTCACTTCTCCAGAAGGGCTCCAAAAGAAGTACATGGATCAGGACGGCCGGGCGACGTTTTTGGTATTTGTTTGATGCGACCATCAGGATTTCAAGGGTTCCCTCGACATGCAGGAGGCCGCCATGGAGATGGAGCTTGAGCAAGATGAAGAGGTAGAGCCGACCACACCAGAGGAGCTTAAAAAGCTTCAGAAGTGCCTTGCACCTGCTGGGTGAATGACGACGTATCCACCCCGCGCAACAGTTCCAGTAAACTGTTTTGTGATGTTTTGTGTCCATTGGTGCGTGTACCCCCAAAGAACTGCAGGAAAAAGTTCTAGATGTTCTAGACTAAAACACATTGCTTGGAGACCTCCCGATTAAAATACCCATCATTTGGGGTGGTTCTGGAGAAAAAGTTTTCAGGGGGGGCTTAGAACACTACCTGTTCCCTACGTTTTGAAGGGGGGTTGGGGGTGGGGAACATGTAACTTACATTTATGGAGGTTCCCCCCCGTGCAATTTCTAGCTAATGTAAGCTACGTTCCAACATCTCGCATATCCCCATTGGTATCACAGTGAATTTGCACAGAAGGGCATGAATGAATGCCCCTGACCGCCCGGTGCGGTACAATTGGCATTGGGCGGTGAGTTTGGAGGCATGAGTTTGGAGAAGCTTACGGAACGGGCTTTCAGGTGCTGGTAAATACCTTAGAAAAACAACAGACCAAATACCAGGAGTAGTCACAGTAGTCTAGTAAGTAACTAGTACTTCAACTCTCATTCTACACACATGTGCAGGATGATCGCGTGTTGGTCCACCGAATTTCGGGCTCCGAAAGAACACCTCGATGCAAGTGTGTACTTTCAGTCCGGTACACATCCAGCGCGTGGCATCTGCTCAGTCGTTCGGTGTGCGGGACTGAGCGAGCGTCTGGTCGAGGCGCGGGCTAACGCGTGGCGCCACGCGTGAGCTAAGGAGATTGGAGGAGCGGTCGACTCGGGAAAGAGAGGAACAGTTAGAGGCTCAAAGAGAGGCCATGGAAGAAGAGGAGGAGTTCACAGATGTGGATTTTGCCGAAGCCCTGATGTTGTTGGGTGGCATCACCTTCATCATGATGTTGTTCTATCTCGTGAACGATCCGGACCAAGACATGAGGTATTACAGCTGGTCTGTCATTAGTGCAACTCTCTCCATTTTTGCAGCCGTCTTGATTTTTAGTGGTATCAACCACCTGCTTCATGAATACGTGCTGCCTCACTCTGAAGCCTGGGACCAAAGATTTTTTGGAATGATTTGGGTATGGGTCAGAACTGGGAGACCTGGTTTTTCCTCACCGAACATGAACAGAATAGACAGCACACGGAGGTCAATGGGCTCCAGGTTCTGACCCACAGCCATTTGGTGTTTGAACATGTTCTCCCGGAAATCTCCTTCAAGACGGTTTTGGGTTTTCTTCCAGGTTCAATGCTAGACTAGCATCGGCCTTTCACCAAACAGTGCATCATGGGGGTTGTCCAAGGAAACACGTGCTCTGAGATTTCTCTGGACCGTGGTCTCCATGTTGGTGTACTTTATGCTGCTGCAGCTTGGAACTGCCTACGACCCTCGGCCTGAAGGGCCCGACGGGGTGGGGGAAGACGGGCCTTGAGGTCGTTTGCAGCAGGGCCCCCCGGCGGCCTCCTGGGACCTTCAAAGACCAGAGAGTGGCCTTCCACCTGGGAGGTTCTACCTATGGACGTGGAGGTCCACCGCCACCTCTTTGGACCGGTGGTGCTAATCTCAGAACATGCTCGGTTGGCTCTTCGGGCCGTCTGACATCCACTTAGAACCACTGGGGTCTTGCAGAGAGTGGATCAGTTTCTATCGGACTTTTTGGGAAGGTGAGAAACCTTTCCATGCCTTTCCATCCATGCCTTTCTGATCCTTTCTGTTTGGGGTTCGGGTTCAGACCGTGCCCCCCGGTCGCCCGCCGTGCCAGGAAAGTGGTGCCTTCAGTGACGTTCCAGAGCACAAAGGCAAAGAAGACTTGGAGGAGATCGAGCATCGAATCGAATGCCGGACCAAGTGCACCTCGACTGGAGAAACGGTAACTGCATCATCAATGCTCGCATCCGGTTTCTCAACCAATTCATAATCTTCCATGTCTTCAGCCTCATCCTCACCCAATTCTCCTCCACCTCAATGCTCCCTGAACTCGTCTCATCATGAGAATCTCACTGCGCTTCACCTGGCACCAGGTCCTCCAAAATGACCAAGGGACCAAGAACAATATAGAACAATCAAGAACACCAAAATCACTGCCATTCACTGGATTCACTGCCATAGTTTTCGCTATCAAGTTCTTCATCAAGCCATATGCAACCAATTTTCAAGCCAGCACAGGTGGTACACCATCATCCTCTATTCATACACCCCCCCTAGGTTTCTCAGCCAATCCTTCCTTGTTCACGTCCGGGATCGGATCGATCCTCCCTCGTTCCTTCCCGTGCACCCGTGCGACCGGCCACGAGCCCGTCCAGCACGGGCCCAGGCTGGGCGACGATTTTCGCACACATGACGGGCTTTGCTTCCATCCATTGTGGCACTGTTGCGTGGACGGTATGGGCGCGGTTACGGCCGGTGAGTAGTACAGTAGCCGGTGGCGCTGGTGGGGGAGTTAGAGTGACCGGCGGCGGATTTGGTTTCTGTTTTTGATCTCGTTTTGGGGCGGTAGGGGCACATTCTCAAACCAACTTGACCTCATGCTCGCGGCGTTTTCCTCGTCGGGTGTAGGGGTCGCCACAGCAACGATGGCACCGACACCAAGTTGGGCCGTTCCAGGTGGGGGTTACATGGGTTTACGGGAGCTGAGCCGAGCTGAGCCGAGCTGAACACTCAATAGATGAACCCCCCCAAAAGCATGGCTTCTCGTCCCCCAAATCATCCTCCCATTCCGTGCGCCCCGCACGTGCTCATTGCCGGTGTGAAAACAGGGGTCTCACCCTCTGGAGCCGTTCTCATTGCCTCAGGTTCTCCAACACTTCCCAGGCATCGCCGATAGCCCCGCCGCATCGTTTGTTGCAGCGCCCATCATGTTCCTTTGGTGCGTGGGCCTGAACTGGTGCGCCCGCCGCCTGCGGGAGCGCGCCAAGAGGGCGCGTGGGCCTGGTGAGGCCAAGTATAAGTACCAGCAGGTGCGCAGTGGCTATGGGCGACCAGGGCGGGGCTGGCACCTACGGTGGGCGCGTCTGAAGTGACTGAAGGTTGGATTGTATAGGTTTAGGTTTATGAATGTTCATGAGTCTCCCAACGGTCCCTCTATGTCCCTCTACTTTCAAGGGGTGTCTTTCTATTTTTCCCCAACTGCAGCTCCGAGTTCTCCGAGTTCGCATGCTATGCTATGGCCACCTACTATTCCAGCTATGCGTATTAGATCTTATTGGCGCGATGCTATGCCAGCCTGCCATCTCGCCAGGTGCCGCAAGTTCCGGTGGATCAAGTGGATGCAGGAAAGTGGGAGGAGTGGACCAATGAACTTTGGAACGAGCAGCTCCGATGAGGATGGACAGCTCGGACGTCTGACAGGACCAGAGACGGGGATGAGGGTGGGGAAGCTAAAGCCATAAATGGATGCGTGTGTGTGTGTGTCAAAAAATGGGCGGTTATATACAACATGTTCACACACACACAGATATATATATATATACACCAGTTCCAGTACTGTACCAGTTCCTATGCAATTGTTCCAACTGATTCCTCAAACGCTCTGCAGCAGAGGAATATCAAGAGGATAGTCAAGGGGATATAACTGTAACATCCAAGCAAATGATGAAGGTGTTCAAAAGGGTTCCCCTGTGTAGTTGGATTCTCCAGCGAAGACTATAAAACCTTTGCAGACCTCACCCAGTGACCCCAGGTGTTCCGACGTCAAAATTCTTGACTCAAACCACCTCCATGACTGTTTGTAGGCAAATCCCTACTAAGTATCCCACCGACCACTTGAGGACTGAGACCATGTTGTCCTTCCTTTCTCCATGTTTTTAAGGAGATCTTTCTCCGTGTTTTGCAGCACGACACCGACCTCGCCTGGTCGGTGAGAGATTTGCCAAGGTACGTCATTGATGCCGAACACGACTCCGCCGGCTTGAGCGTCTCTTTCATGGTGGTCCAGGCATGCCGCTACACCTTCTCGGGGCATTTGCCGGAGGAGCTGCCAGAGCCGCAAGAGGATCCATCAGATCGGAGGGTGGAGGGAGCGGTGTGGAGCGGTGTGGAGTTTTGGTGTTCTTCATTCAAGTCTTCTCATTGGCCCATTTTTCAGATGTTCACTGCACCAGTATGCCAAATCTGGCAACTGTTCAATAGGGCCATTAGCAGACTTGTGTCAGTTTGATGGCAGGCAATGGCAGGTAGATACATGTCTTCTCAGCAAGTCCAAAGGATAGGTTAGTTAAACTTGTCCGTTAGGGTAAAGGACTCATTTCACCTCCCAACTTCCAAGACTGAATTTGCACAGGTTTTTCACGGCCTTTCACCCTGATTTCGTTCTTTTTTCTTCACGGCCATTTCAAGCTTCCAGCTCCTGTGTTGCTAAAGCACCGGTTCAACT